AGGCAATGCATAACGATCCGCGATGTATAGGGTCACGAGGCCCAATCAGATGCCAAGAATTGCGCAGACACATTAACTTGCCAGTAAACCATACACTACGTACTTTGTACTGCGTTCCTGGTATTAAGAGATTGTTCATTAAGAGATCATTCATTAAAAGGTTGATCATTAAGGGTTGTTCATTAAAATGCTGGTTTTGTAAATTGTTACTGCTACTCTTTAAAGTTAAAAATGGGTAATCTGTATTCTGTTTAAAATTAAAATATACAGTCTGCCCTCCATACAGTCACTCTCTATATAATCACACCCTTTTCATAAGCACACTAATTTTTAGAACAAACTTATATAAAACATAAGAAATTTGACCTCTATACAGACACAATTGCTTATAAGCACTGAATTTCTTGGAACCGAGGGCATGATTGTAGAGAGGTTTGACTGTACTAATCGAATACCTTCAGGATTATATAATTTTTCTTTCTCAATCACATGACAGACTAAATGTTTGCAGATAAGAAATCTGCTATTAAGAAATGACTTACAACTACATACTTAACATGTTAAATCAATCATATAATGTTTTTTAGTATCTGCTTCAACTAGTTTAGATGCAAGCAACTTCCACTGTTTCTTAAAATCGTCAAATCATGATGAAACTATCTGGCCAGGACACATTTGCTGAAAGCGAATGATTTGATCATGTAGTATACAGGAACAAATTACCCATACAAGATAGTCTAACTGAGGTCAATTATAATAATATAGATAGCAATGTTTAAGTACTTTCCAATATGCTTTGATCATCATATTCATCTTTTCAATGGGAACTGTTGATCTTACTGAACGAGCCCAAAGGTATCACTATTTCATTTTGTACCATGAAGACCAAAGGCAAGACCATAATAATACAAGACCATTGGTAAAACAAAATTCATACATTTCATGTACTGCATTTTTGCGAATTTCAATGGGGTTAAAAACTGTCTACTGGCATTGACTGAAATTTTAGAATGTTGGTTAAAATGCATTTTAATAAAGTCAAGAACCTCTTGTCAAAGATGTTGAGGACAGATTTCATTTTCTAAATCTTTTAGATTTGGCTTAAAATTTATATCTATAAAATCAAATTCTGTAGCAGTATCTTCAGGTCGGTACTGAACATGTTGAACCTTTTTACGACACTTGAGTTTTTGACTGATTGCTCTCTTCACATGCCACTGGCAAAGCTGTATATTAGCATTAGGCCAAATTTGCTTTGCAGCATTGATTTCTGAAAAGTTCTTATCTGTGTAAATGTAGTCTGGATATAAATCTCTACTGCAAATTGAGTCAAAAAAACCACTTAGAGCACGTGTTCGTCTTTCATTTTGCAGTTTCTCATCAGAAATTTTAATAGTATCTAAAATTAAATAAGCCAGAGAATACCCCACACCCTTAACATTGCAAATAAGCCCATACAATTCGAATCATCCTTTTGCAGTTTTGTAGGTAGCATCACAATGAATTTTAGATATTTGTTTAATTTTGCCATACAAGTGTATAATAAACCCAATTGCAGTAATTTGACTAGTCATTAACTCATAGCAAAGTTCACAACCTGTGGCTTGGCTTGATTTGAAAAAAGAATATACTAAATTAACATGATCATCATCAGACTTATAAAAATTTTGAGTAAAAAATGACCACCAATATCTAATTTGTTGTAATGTAATTTTTGAAATATCAAACTTATTATAAAGATATGTCCTAAGTTGCACAGGATCCATGTGAATATTTTCTTGAATTGCTTGTTTGATTTCTTCAGGTGTTGTAACATCACCTGATCTTTCATAAAGGATTTCATGTTTAAGTTTTACTATCACCTTAGCCGCAGGCATATCAATATATATAATTATTGTTCTATGACAATTAAAACATTTTATTCTTGGATGATTTGATTCTTTGTAATCACGTGCTAGTTCATTTGATTAAGAACATCCAAAGTAGAAAGTGCCAACGTTTTCATGACAAGTCAACATACAAGATACTGTTTTAACTCTTTAGAAATTTAAACATATTAAAATTTTTTTTTTTTTAAACTTATTAACTTTTTCTAATACTTATACCCAAGAATAACTATCACCTTCTTCAATATTGTTGATGGTCATATTGGCAATTGACTTGATACTGCAATTTTGATCAAACATATTGACATCAACATGTATTGTAAAAGATAAACCCATATTATTCTTAAGATTGTCCATTAACTCTATAATATATTCATTTAAATCATTTAATGGAATTGTTTCAATAATTTGATTATGATTGAGTATAGTCTTTTTATTAGCTCTTGTCTTAGCTTTATTAGTTAAACAAGTTGTGCAAGTTTTATTTATTTTTCCATCAAGCACAAAAGCTTCAGGAGGATGTTGGCGCGTACATGAGGTACATTTTTTTATCATGAAAAAAAAGGCAAATATAAGGTATGTCTGCAAGTTTCTTTTTTTTTTTTGTCACGCATATATCAAATATAGTAAATGTAAAATACGAGAAAGATGATAATTTTCTAACTGCTTTTCTTTTATATATTGAATAAATTTAATGACATAATTATTGCAAAATGATTCATTGCAGAGTTTAAAAATTATATAGTACAATACATTATATACTATAAGCATATATATTATGCACTAAAATATTCGAATAGAATCTTACAAAAGTTTACTTAATAAGAGATAACTCGAATGCAATATAATATAAGTTTGTAGAGCAAAAACCTCAGTTACAGGTTTTAATTTTGCAACACTCATCTCTTCAAAATTCTTAATTAAGATCTATTACCACTATCACCATAATATAATCTTGTTCAATTAAAGTCTGTTCATACAGAAAATCTTTTTTTTAAAATATCTACTTATATTCGATCAATTTAAAGATAGTAATGGATTAAAAAAAAACTTTATTAATCGGGTCATAGCAATATAGTATCAGGAAATACTTAACTTTAATTTTATAACCAGATTTATAATATGTTAGAGACAAATCAAATTTTTAAATATCGATATTTAAGAAATTACTACAATTTTATAAAAGAAGGGGTTTTGTTTATTGTTTGATTATTATTAATAATCATGTATACTTGTATATATGTACGTATTAGGTAAATCAACTAAATAATTAAATCTTAAAGCATCTAGCAATTTATAAACTATTTGTAAAAATTTTAAGATGATTCCTTATTATGATAATAAGTTAAAGCCTTCTAAAATAAATTGATTTTAATAAATTAACTTTTCATATAAAAATTTAATACATACTGTACTATTAATTATGTAATACAAGAAGGTCAATATGCATAACTATTATACAAAATAATAATCATGCACGTGATTTCCAAAAATTTTAGACTGCACCTTGCTGTTGTTGTTTTTGTTTACTCCATATGTGGTCACAGTAATTAGCAAAAAGAGTTATTGATTATTATTATATATTAATAATATAATAATTATATAATAATTATATTTATATTAATTTTATATACTTTTTAAACCCAAATTAGACTCTTGTCTTGCTCTTTAAGACAGAATATATAGTAATCCTATCAGCTATTTGTACAGTTCTATAAGACTCTATTATTTATATTTATACTAATTCACAATTAGTTATTTCTAAATATAATAGTTTTCTGTATTCTACAATATCTGCAAACTATTTAAATACTCTTACTAATCTATTTGAAATATATTTCTAAACTTTTTACTTTTTCTAACCTCTTGATTATCTTCTATAAAGTTTTTATATACTGGAATAATGAATTTAATAACAAAGTCAATGAACTTGCTTGTAGCCACTTTAATGCACTACTTCTTACTCTTAGCCCTTATAATATTTATAATACATTATTTATCCCAACTTTTAATAATCTATCTTTAAAGCTTTCTATTTGCCATAGCATTAGTAATACAAATATTTTTGCATAATAGTCTTCCCAATATTAATTTTTAAAATAGTCTAGTTTTTTACAAGATATCTATTGGAATGCTACCTGGTTTTATCTTAATTAGTAATTTATGAGTTTGCCAGAGAGTAATTATAGTAAAACATAATATTGATTACTTATAGAAATTAATGC